CAGTAGAAATACGTGCAATAAAGCATGTTCCCCTAGGTTGTGCTGGATATAACTGTTATAGAACTACTTGTGCACACAGGTAAAGAGTTCTAAATCTCCAAATAAATGCAATTTTTGTAACCATGAATGCGATAATCATGGATGATGACAACCATTGTTTGGGTGGCAGGTCTGAGTACTTAGCTCTGTGCCTGATTATGTGTGTTAGCTCTGTGCCTGATTATGTGTGTCAGCTCTGTGCCTGATACCAATCACTGCACACTCACCCAATCACTGCACACTCACCCAATCACTGCACACTCACCCAATCACTGCACACTCACCCAATCACTGCACACTCACACTTTCAGCTTAAAATTTATTGCATTTTTTTTATGAACAAATGTGGCAAAGTGAAGCCGATGTTCTCGTGAAGGCACTTAATTGCCTGACTTTAATTCTATCTCGAATTAAGCGGTCGAATTACTACGTCCAAACGCCGTCAAACGACTGTAGAAGTTTTCCTAAATTCTTTAATCAGCGGAGTTATAACCTATAACTCAAGAACAGACTAGACAAAGTTATGGAAAAATATATGTTCAGATTTGAAATGCCTAGCACCTTCTCGAACCCGGTGGAAGTCGAGTAGCTATTTCAAACTATCGTTAGTCCTGAAAAGATCCGGTCAAATGACACGATTTTAGATCTTCTGTGAACAAGGCACGAAAGGGAAAAGAATCGGCGACAGGCCACATCAGGCCTACGCTTCAGCGCCGACATCACTATGTTATGTTAGGTTATGTTATAACTAAATCTAATAGTGTGCTAAGATTTTATCAGCCTTGCATGTCATCTAGCCGTTTTGTTGATAAACGCGACCAGCATACATGCATAGATCCACACATCGCTGCTATGCTGCAGTTAAAATGTCAAAACTTAGCTTTTCTTTGCTGGTTCATCTGAACGTACATCTTAATTCAGTTCTTTAAAAATTGTATTTCAATTGGTTGCGTAATATTATAAGCTGTTTATGCTGAGCTGTAAATAGTACATGTACTTTACTCATGTCTTGTGATATGAAGTGTTGTTGGTAATTATTAATTAACCTGAGTAACACTAGAAAATGTTCGAATTCATATGTCAAATACTAAATCAATATTTGACTAAATCTAAATCAGCGTAGAAACTTGTGTGGTATCATCTTGCTGAAAACCATTAGAATACAAGTGCCAGAGGATCGGAATTCCCCAATGAATAAAGTCTTTCATCTCGTCTCCGAGCTAACGATCATTAGAAGCTGATGAGGAAGGCATTCTTAACAAGTGGATTCATGTGTTTAAATTAACAATCAAAATATGCAACTTGAAAAATATATACTAGTTTAAATAATGCGTTAATTTTTAAAATCAAACTTTTGAGTATTTACGTTAGTGAAAATGTCGAAAATAATAGGGTTTTTCTATCGTAATTATCACAATTAGGAACAAACGATGAGGCAGGTTCATTCAAGCTTCCTTTTTCTCATCACTTTGCCAGGGTCTTATAACTCTAGATACCAGAAATGACGAACAAATTTTTACGTGATCGCAACATTTATTCACAATAGTCAGTGCTTCTGCTTCATTAAAACCAGTCAAAACTTCTGTCCTCTGCTAAATCTATATTTATTTAGCACTAACTTCTTCAACTCTTCCGTTGTAGCTCATATTGTCGGCAACAACTCAATGCTAATTTTTCTTCCCGCTCTCGACGTGCTCGCTCTACGGTGCCGCGCGCTGTTCACCGCGCCATGATGTCCCATTCTTCACAGTAGCGCGTCCCTCATCACAAAAAAAATCAGTTTTTTTAACACGTTTTTCTTAGCTTAGCCGAAAAAACGTGGGTCGGGCTGTACGTTCACCATCAAATTTCCCAAATTTAAGTGTTGTGTGCTTTTCGCTTTAATCATAAATCTGCCCGACACACGTTTTTTTGGGCGAACCATAATTTATTTTCTACTTTTTAGTCCACAAGAAAAATGTGTTTTTTTAAGTTTTTTTTAAGTATTTTATTCTTGCTCGCCTCGTGACGCTTCACCGCCTGCGCCGCGTCGTCCCGCGCGCACGTTTCTTGTGTCACCAGCGACCGCTTTTTAGGACTCTGTAGTACCTACGACTGCCTGATCTACGTGTGAGAAAAAGAATAATGTTTCCGTTTAATCTTTTCACGCTAGATCATACATGGTGTTCTTCAGTAGTACTGACTCTGAGTACTTCAGTGGCCTGACTCTGCAATGTCGTTCTTCCCTTCAGAGTCACCACGCCCCAAATCCAAATCCAGTATCTTGAGCTAGTGTGTTTGGTAGACGTTTGATCTCGGGTGATAGGTGATGTAATATACATTTTCTATAAGATTCCTACATACGAGCAACTTTAAGTGCTGCGCAAGCTATGTGATCGCAGTAGGTAATAACTTTATTCCAACCCCCGGGGCAACATAACTGCCGAAGCATAAAAAACTTTTCATCGTACAACTCAGGTGGAGCAAAAGCGTAACGAAAATTATTAAAATTATCACTCAAACCTATAAAAATGATTATATAGTAAGAGGCGGTTTCTGGGACTCGACTCCTAAGCTCAGATTAATTTGCAGTTGTCATAATAAAGTTTGCATGTCAACAAAAATACTGCCATACATCTAACTAATATTAACAGTAAAGAGTACGTACTAATGCAGTTTGGAAGACTCAAGCCATCGGAAAATTTCTAGCAGTTCCGAGCAAAAGTAATATTATTGACTGCTGGTGGTCTCCTGATTGATTTAGTTTCGAGTTTCTACACTCGTCTTTTCTTCCAGCAATTTGCTTTTTAATATCAATGTCACTGAATGTGAATAAATAAATTATTCTGCAGGGCTGTATATTGCGTTACATTATATCTGATGTTATTGATCAAGAATATCAGATATTGATTGCATCATTTCTCGTTGTTCTGGAATTTTTTTCCTCTTGCTCGTAATGTATTTATTTTTTAGATATTTCCAGAATTAGAACAACATTCATCTTTAAATGACAATTGCTGCAGACTTAAAAAGGTGCAATGTTATTCGTTGCAGTCATTGCTTTAATTTATTGATGTTGTTACGTACGAATAACATATTAGATAAACACATGCAGACTGTTTTACTCTACTGCGTTGAAAAAGCTGAAGTGCACTTTTGTAAATGAGTGCTACGGCAATTTAAATGAGTGATGCTTGCCATACCGTGCATACTTGTCATACCGAGCATACTTGCCATACCGTGCATACTTGCCATACCGTGCATACTTGCCATACCGTGCATACTTGCCATACCGTGCATATTTGTATCCACAGTAATCGTTAGCTGGGAATCTGATGTTTTGGTCAATACGAAGCTTGAGGCCAGAGTTGGAATCTTTTATCGCGGGCATTGGTCTTTCTTATTTGAGGTTTCGTTTTAACTAATTCTAATTTCATTTGACTAATTTATTCAAAAATCCTAAAACGAATTACACGTCGTAAAAAGAGGCTGACATTCACAAATGATCAAGCGAGTTCTAATGATCACAATATTACGTTTCACAGTTATGTGACAGATACTTTCTTTATCTCTTGCTTTCAGCCAAATATTTCTCTACCATTTTCAACAATTTTTTTTTTCTTAAAATTTCGACGAAAGAAATCTTTGCTATAATGAATGTTCCCTAGAATTCCAGCACTGAGTTCAGAACATCTCCGCCCCGCCAGACGCACGAGTGTCGGTGTTCTCTAATACTTTACTCTTGAGTGCCACAAGCACTCAAAAAGATCAGCATGTAAGGAACAAGGGCGTCCAGAATATAATAACTTCGTTATGCTTGTGATCAACTGGAAACATTTTCTTAAAATAAATTTAATTTAACTTTCCTAAGGTAGATGACCAACTTGAGTTTTTCCGTCGATATATTTTTAGAAATTATTTTGATGTTCAGGCATGGTGTCTTTAATGCTACTGTCATAGGCTGTAAATTTAAAAAGAAAAGATTATTTATTTCAGAAATTCTAAGTACTTCTAACCATGAATTGCCGCTATCGGTTTTATTGCTTTTTATTGCTTGGGAGAACAAGTCTGAGGCAACGTCTTTGTCTGGTCACTGAGCGGTCAACCACACTATCACCTGGATCGCCAAATGTAGTATGGATGTACAACAGTATATAAAAAAATTATTAACTAATCCTCTCAACTTATATCCATAAATGATACATATTATACCTTCATAGTGTTATTTATAACCTATATTGCTCCTGGCTTCGATTTATATGTATCTTCAGTGGTCAGTGATGTTGGCAGCAACTGCCAGAGGTACGAGAGTCGTCATGGAATGCCACACAGAACAGGTTCTAGGAACACCTCCTTCCCCCTGTCATGAGTCAAATTCAAAATACTTACTTGCCTCGACGTGCAGAATTCCTTTGTATTGGAAACCTTGTGTTTCTGTTCAGTTCATGAAACAAATATAAAAATGTATCTAATTGGGTATATCAGTCCACAATAAATCCCCAATTCTAACTATATAACGAGAAGGTGTGGAAAGCAGGCAAGTGTATGAACTTTTTTTTTGTAACGTACCTGTTGGACAGCGTACGGCGGTTCAGTGTAGTTGAGACACTTGAGTGTGTAGGTGTCGCATTTCGTTTGTTCTGAGCCATGCGAGTGTAATGATTTCTGTGAATGGCAACCATACATCCTTGTGAAAGTTAATCCCATAGTAATACAGCATCAGTAGCTACAAGTCATGTGTTATTGTGAGCTGTAGTGCACCACGTGGTGAAGTGCTTGTGATAGAAAGTGGTTAGTGGCGCGGGACGCGTGCCCAGGAGGAGGGCCACTAGAGGAAGGATTGAGCGTTTCAAAAGAAACTCGAAGAACTGAAACGTTGGCCGGTGAAACTGCTGCAGCATGTAGCGCAGGTGAGGGGCGGCGTGTAGCGCAGGTGAGGGGCGGCGTGTAGCGCAGGTGAGGGGCGGCGTGTAGCGCAGGTGAGGGGCGGCGTGTAGCGCAGGTTCAGAGTAAAATTCTCAATTAATTCACACGAAGCTTTTATGTCTATTCCTTCATACGTTGCACGCTACGTTGATAATCACAAAATTAACGATATTATCTTTCCAATCTTTCCATCGTATTCAAGAACTTGTCACCGCTCTTCTCCGATCTTATTCTCCATTCGTCTTCCACCCATCCACTATGTAAGAATATGCCCCAGTGATATGCCTCAGCGTCATTCATTTCCAAGAATTTATTGCGCCAAAGTTTTGTGGTCGCGTCTCGCTTATATTGAGTTCTAACTTTTCATTCTTAATGTCATGATCTTCAAGAAAAAAAAACAATCGCCGCATTCCTTTGGCCAATCGAAATTCGATTTTAAAGCATATTCTCAAGATCCATTGTAATCTCCCACCCAGCGCAATGTTAATCACGGTTGGTCACGGTCTTATTTACCGGAAATATCTGTACGAGTTTGGGTGATATTCGGATTAGGCTTCATGCAGGCCTGTATAGCTCGTAATAAACCAATAATTGTTGGCAGTATCGGTGCAATTTACTTGTTTGTTCTCAGAAATAGATTTGATTTATTATTTGCACGCTAGGAAGAGCCGAACTTGAACAAATGAGGAGTTTGAACAGATCCTTCAACTACAACTAAGCTTGAATAACTACACATTATTCAAGCATAGTTCTTCCTGACGCCGTTGCAGAGTCTTATAGAATACCTTCGTTTCTGCTCCGAGCCAAGTAACCATGAGTGTGGTTACTTTATTGTGTTTATACGAGCCAAGTAATCGCAACTAACTTGTGTTACTACGAATCAATTAACTGGAAGTAATTGTCTCATTCCGAGTCAAATAATGAGAAGTATATAATTGTCTCACTCCGAGCCAAGTAAACTAGAAGTAATTGTCTCACTCCGAGTCAAGTAACTAGAAGTAATTGTTCTACTCCGAATCAAGTAATCAGAACCATTTGCGTTATTCGTAGCAAAATTGATGTTATAACATCGGCAGTCGCGCTACTATGTTCGACTTGTAGCAGCAGCCGCCGTTCCTTGATACCTGATCTGAAGTACGATCCAACTGAATTTTTTTCCAAAGATAGAAGCATTTGTTCGTTACTTGATCGTATATGAGGTTCATTACAAGCGCGCATCAGGCGAGATGTCACGACTAGCTCGGCATTCACGGATGTTTTGCGATTGTAATTAATGAATCAACTAAAATTTCTCTGTGTCCAAGTAAATCTGTCCAACCCGCCCGAAAACTTTTTCTATTGAAAAAATTGAAACTTTGTTATCAACTCGCGAGTACAAATATACTGATATGACGATTCATATCACCATACAATTTGTAGCATTAACAAGGTTTCCCCATTGCCTTAGTGCATACTTAGGTTACTTTTTTGAAAGAAATAAGTAACGTAACTCACGTCACGTTTTTTGAAAGAAATAAGTAACGTAACTTACGTTGCGTTTTTTGAAAGAAATTAGCCTTACAATTTCCCGGCGTAATTTAATTGATTAGACGCGCGGTTACTTTTGACGGAGCCGTGGCGCAGTGACTGCAACGTGGGGCAGGAAGGGATCCCTGGTCGCCAGTTGGATACCCGCGGTGCTGCGGTGCCGCGGAAATTAGCGGTCACGCCTAATGGACGGAGGTGCACATACGTACAATGGAGGCCGCGCGCTATTGTGAGGCGGCTGTCCCTGATATCGCTTCGCATTTCAATGCGCAGTCGCAACCCGATTATATGAGTAAAATGTCTGCTTAAGGTTTTATAGTATATATCCAGGTAGTTTTCATATATTTTGTCTTCGCATCCTTGCAGTGAATTGCTGTTATTGCTCAGTTTTTAATGACGGATCTAAAATATTGAAAGTGGCTCAGCCGTAATCACAGCTCAGTTCGTCGTTTTTGAGTGTGATTGTTGTAGTCGTATATTTAAAATATGTTGTGTTTGTGTTGTGTTTTTCTAATCTGTGCCCGGAGGCATCGGCATTTATGAACTTTTTCAATTGTTTTCTTTCGATTGCGTTCAGTTTTTTATTTCAAATGTGGATGACCAATAAGATTCTTCCTCTCAGTTAAATAAATTAAATGTTCTGAACATAATAAAGTTTTTCCTGAAAAATACTGTCACGATCCACTTGGGCAACGAGTATATACGCGATCTTTATTTTTCTAGTTGATTTCGAAATGCATACAATTATGAACTCGAATACTACCTTACGTGGTACGTATGAATGCAGGGTAGTGAATGGCATTATGGTGCAGACGTTCATTTAAGACTTGATGGTCTTTTATGATGATCCAGGAAAACAAACTATTATTGTCAATTTGACCTCTTAGTTAAGTTGACCAAGACCTCATATTTGCAATTTTCATAAATATTTGCGATCATGGTAATGTATCACTGAGAATAGAAATCTCGCCATCACATTCGATCGTTAACCTCTTTCTATACGCTCGTTAGTCGTTATTTAAACAATAAAGTACAGTTTTCAGTGGTTGATGAGGTACAATAGTTAATCCAGTCGCAGAGAAAAATCTATTTACAGGTTTTGATCTGACCAAAGTCCATGTTTGAGTAAGAGTTTCAGATTGTGTTCGAAACGCTGCCATCATGTCTCTGTATCGAGCAGTTTTCATTTATCCTGTAGAGGTCAGCGTCCTGAATGCCCTTGATTCGCAAGGCTGCACTCACGTATAATGTCATCTGTCTGCTCAGCTCCCCGTATCACGACTCAGATTCTAATTAAGAAAATACGCCTGAGTCGGCACAATTTATGCAACTCGTGTACGGTGCTTGTGATTTATTTGTCACCGCAGCTGCATTCTTAACCTGGTATCCATGTAGACTCTGGTTTAAAATCATCTACTGCATCTGTGTAAATTCGTAATTGATTGTCGAGTATTTCAATTTCTTTACTGATTTTTTTGCCCGGTGAATAGAGCAGCAATTTATGTTTTGTTTGTTCCCGATGTCATCATTCTTATATACGACGGCCTTGCTCAGATGCACGCGTCTGTCATGTCCGGGCAACTGTCCCCGCCAGCTCACATTCAATAACCTCTACCTACTTCTGATCATGTATTATTCGACTGAAGTGACGTATAACTTAGCCGTTAACAAGAACCACCTATGGTGTTTACATTTGCAGTGCTAAATCAGTGCTAAATCATTTGTGCATTTCGGGCATACGTTGTTCGGCCGGCGGGCGGTTTCTAATTAATACCATGAAGGCGAAAAATCCCTGATTGATATTCTCCTTGCTCTCTATGGCTATCGTTTGGTCATGTTGTTTTTCAATAATTTAATATTGTAATAATTCTACTGTTTTTTCTTATAATCTCTTTACTAACTTACTCAGGATCAAATGAACTCATAATCAACTAAGTTTTTTTTACTTAGGATAAATGAACTTATGATCAACTTGATTTTTATGTACCTAAGATTTATGTACCTCTGTGAATAAAGAATAAAGAATAAGTGAACTTAGATTTTAATTATGGGTACCAACAGTTTAATAATTTCGCGATTGGGATGTGTGATTTGCTCACACAGACTTCGTGTAGTAAATGAATGTAGGCTCTTATATTACCGAACACAGGTTGTCAACAATTACATGTCGTTTCGTTCTAGACTGCGAATCGACGGTTAATCAGCGATGTTCAACCATCAGCCATCCATCGAATTCTCCGTCATATCAAGAGTGATGTTTTACAATTTGAACGCAGGGTGACAGTCAACTACTGTGGTTGGTCGTCGTAGATTTTCCTGTTATTTATTCAGGTATAACTCTCACGTTTATGTTGAAGTCAAGTGCAGCCTGAAATTGAACAGCTGTTGCTGGTCTGTCCACAAGTCTTGTTGCTATGTTATCAGCACACAACTGCTGCCGTCGCACCTGTAATGAACTGCTGTGGCTAGGATAAAACATGCGATGCTCCATTGATATGAGACTCGAAACTGCACATTTTCTGTGGACCACGACCAGTACCTATATCGTCAAATATACCAAGGCTAAAGCAAGTCTTAATCGCGAAAAATAGGAGAATTGTAACAGGACTTTTTTTAAGTTTGAAAAGTATTCTTAATTTGCATTGAAAATTTTTTCATCTATTGGAGCCAAACCTTGGCCGCGATAGGTGAATTCCGCGATATATAATTTAATGACTGATAGTACTTATTTACATGTTTGAGTTGTAATCCTTTGATAAATTTGAAAAGTTTTTGTTGTTTAGAAATTAATTTAATTATAGGCTTTTATATCTTAATGTTTTCATTCAGTTTCATTTATATTTTTTGTAATACCTGCCGATCGACTTCCTTAGAAACCCGCGAACCGGCGAAGACACGCGAATGATTTTTCTCTTTAATATTACTGGAAAGTTCGCGTTAAAGTAAATCCACGGGAGGTGAGGTGCGATGTAGCGATGAATTAATGCATTACCATTAATTACTGCATTACTGTACTGTACTGTATTACCAATTTTTCGATGTACGAGGAATTACCATTAACACCTTCATTGGGGTTACCATTACCACCTTAATTAGGGGTTTCGAGTGTTGGTAACCTTTGAGTTACCCCAGCACTAGCTTTTCTTTAAACGTTCCTCTCGGTAATCACGCAGCTATAATATTGAAGTTAATGATGATTATACATGATCAAGGTAATTCAACGTGCATTTGTTTTTCATTGAAAATGCTATAATAAACAAATAGAAGCATAAAATGATTGCAATATTAGCTTCAGGCGCAGTGACATCCACGTAAAAAACTACTTTGATTGCATGTCTGCAGTGATCTATAATTCGATGGTAATGACTGGGAGACGTGATAAGTACGTGCCAAAATGGCACAATAGCCGCTGTTGTCATCCCTACGAGAGACTGACTTCTTCAAGTTGACGCGAGAC